TTGGAGGAATGGGGGCTTGGATCAGCTTGCATTCCCATTCATACCATTGCGGCATTCAGGGGCATTGGTACGGCGGTCGGAAAAACGCGCCTTGGCCGGGTTGGGTGTATCACCGGTGAATAGGTGGGGCGAAGGTGCCTTCAGCAAGTGGCTGGAATGCTTTTGCGACCTGCCACCAGAAAGTTCTAAAACCCTCGGGTCCCATTCGTCATAATCATCATAGGGCGGTTTCGGTTCCTGCAACATCATCGAGGCTCGTCGGCGAGGGTCCTCGAAAGGGACTTTGGCCGCCCCCGCTCAGCCCCCGATGATAGCGTGGCCGTCTTCTGGCGTCCGCTGCGCCTGGCTCTGGAACCCGGCGTCTTATCTTCGTAATCTTCATAATCGTGGGCGTCAGGGCCGATGTCCGCTTCGTCGTCGAAGCGTGCCGCGACCCGGGAACAGATTGTGACCATTGTGAACTGTTTGTATGGCCTTCCAGCTTACGAGCTACCAAGAGAAGAAGAACAAGAAAAAGACAAGAAACATGGCGAAAGGACAACCGACGGTACCAGTTACGCCTGCCAAGTCTGGCGGGGCTCGCAACGAGAGTTCAAGCCCGGCTGCGCGCTTTGCAGCCGCCACCGAGCTTTCAGTGAGCTAGTTGTGGTGTTGGAATTCCCACGTGAACTCTAGCTACAAATGTAGTTAGGATGTTCCCACAACAATACGCCTACTAGGATAGTAAACGATCGTTCGGGCGGACCTGAAGACCCCAGTTCTGCCCTTGCACCGGGACAAGCTGGACCTTGTAAACTACTTATATAGGCCAACCAGTAAAATAAGAACACGCTACTAGCACGAGCAAAGCTAGCAGGTGTTTTGAATCCTCGAGGTCCCAACAGCGGAAGGGTACCAGGCACGGGTAAGCCTTTTACGAGATCACCGAGTGTTCAACACTCGGCTGGAAGAAATAAAGGGGAGGCAATTAAAGCACTCCCAGTCGTGCAAATAGGCAACTATAAGCCGTCACGTAAAACCTCCCGATAATAATCGGCCAATACACAAAGTCTCTTGGCCTTGCCGGATTACCCCTCGCTACAGAGCTTCGAGCTCACCGACAGGCATAACACACTCAAACAAGCTTGACCTGACGCTTACCTTGAAGCCGGACGTCGCTCTGTGTGCTTGAGTGGAAATTCTTTTCTGTATTTAAGCTTACCCTTTCGGGTCTATTCCTAATAAGAAGTCCTAATCAAGTATACAAATATCAAGTGAACAATGATCCGTTATGGATCTTCTTGCATGCCAAGCGTCGTCTGCACTGTCGCATGAGCATCTTTAACGGTCCGCGCCCTGTCCCAGACGGTGAACGTGTCTTCCAAAGGTCGCTGAGTATTCCGCGAACTCATCTCAACCGCCACTGAGGGTTCGTACCGTAGATGGTCCGCTGAATGCGAATCCGGCCAGTCCATTATTAATAATAAGGACAGCCTGGATTCAGTGACATAGGGCCGTATCCGATATTTGTTGAAAACTCGGAGGTGACGCCGTCGAGTCCCTTGCACCTTGGCGTCTCCGTACATCACCCGACCGGGGGTTCGTCGCTTGAACAACTTGGGCGGTGTCACGTCTTTGTCGACGGGTGATAATCCGCAACCACGGAGAAATCACTACACCACAACTGCCCCTGTCGCAATGGAAGCCACGGTACTGGTGCCCGTTGTGACATTTCTTCATTCTTCAATTCACCATCTCGCCACCGTATGTCCAAGCGTCTGAATCGAGCCGTGTCCGACGCTTTTCAGCGTCTCAATCCTCGTAGACGTCGCGAACGTGAGCAGCTGGAGGTACGTCAGCTCATCCTTCTCTTGAATCATCGGCACCTTGCTCATCATCTCGCATTACTCGACTTGTTTCTCAGGAGGGCAAGGCCGAGGGTTCGAACGCCCTTCAGTCTGCTGCACTTCCCCCGACAGCAGCGTCATCAACCGGTCCTCCGGCGCCCGCTGCCCCGGACTCTTCACTCCCTGTGGTAGCTCCTGCAGCACTCCCCGTCGTCGCTGAATCCGCGGAGATGGCTCCTGCTGCTCCTCCTGCCCCAGCTGGTGGTCCGCCACCACTCACCGAAGATTCGCTGCGCGCCCTGCTGGCTGAAAGTACGGAGGCATCGGTAGATCACATGATGACCTCGATAATCCCGTACTTGACTGTAATGGCTCGTCACCAAGTGCAGCTCAGCGTTTCGCCTCCTCTCCACGGCGATATACACACTCAGCGTCGCCTCGAGACTGCTGTTGGTTTCGATGATGTCCTCACTGCGTGTTCCACGACGTTCTCCAGCATCTCAGCCAACTGTTGAGGTATCCCGCGTGACTTCGTTTTCAGTGGTCGCTCTCCGGTCGGCATTCATGTTTTCTTATTCTTAATCCACTTCCACAGCGTAATCATGTTCATGTTGTTCTTCAAATGCATATACAATTTGTTGTTGCAGTAACGTTTTTCGTCTGTTACCACAGGCTGCATCGCCCGGACAGTTCACACGTGATCCAGTCACGCTAGTCTTCGTCCGCCACCTGCGCCATCTGCAGCCGATTCTCGCTCTTCTTGGCCCGCAAATAGTCGTACAGCAGACCTCCACATGATCCAGACAAGTCACAAGCTGCCGACTAATAGTCCTGCTTTGACTTCCTGAAGAGCTCCCAACCCCAGTCACAATGAGCAGCTGCTTCACGCCCTCAACGTCCCCAAGCCAGCAAAAATACATGAGCAAATTCCACCGAGCTCCGTCATCTGCCTGAGCTTCACAACACCGGAAAACGGCACTTTCATCGCCATCACTCTCCACCTTGTCAAGGAGAAGAAGGCGCTTCCGTAATCGCCGTCGCTGGTGGTGTTCCTCACTTTTCTCTTTTTTATCACTGGACAAGGGCGAAAAAACTACTTGCGTTGCATAGTCCCAGTACAGGAGACTGCGTGGGTCTGCGTCAGCTTTTAGTAGCAAAGCAATTGTACTCTCGAAGCTGGGAACACGTGGATCTTGCAGAAACGCGAGTTGCAATGCAGTCACCATCCCGCGAGGCGGTTGCTTTACTTGACTTCGTCTTCGCGTTCCATCTTTTGGATCTTTGGGCTGTGAGATGCGAGGAATACAGATCCAAAAGTGAGCTGCCCCGCTCGTTCGCCTCACGCCGCTTCTCAACATCGGTATATCACGCCGAGGCTGCCTCACGGTACTTCAACTCAGCTCACCCCACTATCTCCGTTCCTCCCACATCCACTCCGTTCCACTCCACCCCGTCCTCCGTTCCAGCTTAGGCTTTCGCGGCCACAGCCATCCGCCTCCGCGCCCACGTCAGCCTCCGCGCCCACCTAAGCCTCCGCGCCCACATCAGCTTCCGCGCCCATATCAGCCTCCGCGCCCATATCAGCTTCCTCCACCTCGTCTCCCAGACCTGACGTGCCGCCCGTGTGCCATTCGTG